CAGTCTCGTTTATTGACGAAACAGATTCAAGCGGGTACAAAAGGTAAAAATAGTGAAAGGATTAAATGAAGAAAGTGGGATATTGTTTCATTCAAGAGGCATCATACCTGGTAAGAGCGCAACGATAAAATATATATTTTAACTGTTTTGCTGTAACAAAATATAATTTCTTTGGATATTCCCAACTCAATTTCAACCCGTAGACTTCCAATATCCATTTAAATGCACAACTCCAGAGAACAACGAATCTCCACCACGATTAGCTAAGAGTTATTTCCCTTTGAATGATGACATCTAATTCTGCGTCATACTCTCCTACCACCATAACTGTGAAGATACAAATCCCATTCTCAGGTTAAAGTTGTCTTTATTTCTGACCCGACTGATAAGTCATGCGTTAAACGGTTGAGCATATTTGCTGTTGTATGTTTACTATTTGCCCTTTTGTACGACGTATTGAAATATGATTGAAAATACAATATATAAAACATTTAAAAAAACATTTAGAAAAACTCATTTATGACTGTATTGCATATGCTCATCTGATTGGTCGGTAAAACTAAATGTTCTAACAAAACATATCTGATGCAATTAAGTATTTAGATTATTTTTATTTTTGTTGTTCGTCAGAGTTTAAAATAATTTGTTAACTATAATTCATGTAAACATTGTCTTATTTCCTAAAGGCTTACACTGTTTTTATTACTTTAAAAGTTCCAACCGAATTCATTGTACATATTTCAAAACCAGCACCGTTACTATGGACGAAACCAGGCGCCGATCATTAACCCTTTTAGACATACTTATCTCCCCTTGACCGAGATCGCCATGCATTGACCAAATCCACTATGAATAGGATGCCAGTGCATGGATTTTCAACGATCCCGTCCTCAGTTTCAAGACGTGAAGATGAATACACACAGTTTCCCATACCTACGATTTTGCGATCTTATGGTTTTCTGCGAATAACTTTAAATCAGTTGTTGACAGTGCTACGATCTCTTGTCTCAAATATGCTAAATCAATTGTTTGGATTTACTTGCTTTAATCGCGGTAAATTCGATTGCTTATTTATATTGCCGATGTACAAGCTAAATACGCATTCTTTTAGAAACATCGATCTAAAGCTAGGTGTACATTTAAGAGGAACATTCTCTCATTTAATTGTATATTCTCACGAAAGGCTTTATGAAACTTCAAAATTTGAACGTCATGCACAAACGAAAAAAGGTCATATATGTGTTTGCATTTTTTCTTCCACAAAGGCTTTTAGTTGTGTCATACAGATTCATTTAAGACATTTATTATACTCTTCGAGGCACCTTCTTAACGAATCCCCCTCCCTTCCTCTCCACCATACCATCACCCCACGGGACTAATACCTGCCACACGTGTTGGCCATACGCTCCGCTGTTCCTCCGCATCAATTAAGTTAATTAACACTTCACTATTGAAACCTGGTCTCGTAGATCTAGCTCTAAAGCACTTCTCAATTTCTGTTGTTTTTGTCAAGATGTTTAACATGTTTTTGGCCACTTCAATGACCGACATGGGAGCATTATTCGTGGACGGTGTTGAAGCTCTAGTGGGTCTTGATAAGAAGGCTGACACATGAATTCTGAACATGTTAGTAAGTTGGTAATATATGAATAAGACTGATATAACTTTATAATGGATAGAAATGCTTGGAATATTTTGATTGAAAACATGACGCCCATAAGCCCCCTGCTACAATGAGTGTAAGACAACTATATAAAATAATAAGGAACAAGCATTTTCCCCATGTTTTGAATTTATGAAGAGAGAGAGAGAGAGAGAGAGAGAGGGAGAGAGAGAGAGAGGAAGAAAGTTTCAACATCGACATTATAGTCACCGAGTTAATAAAACACTTGCATTTCTCAAAGAATACTCTTAATTTGAATACTCTGTATTTGTTTGAATATATTTCATCCACAAAACTCAATTTGTAAATTAAGACATTAGACATTAACATCGGTGGCGCTCCTCATCATGTTGAAAAACCTGGTTGCTGTAGTAACATTTGAGTCACTTTGAGGTGATATTATTTCAGCAGTTGACAGTATTTCACACACAATAACCCAGTGTATAGTATTATAGTGTACAGTGTATTACTTTGATGCCTGTTGTAGTTCACGATTTGCTCTGAAACATAACGTCTCGAAGCACGCTGATACAGAAACACCATGAGCATGTTGATTTCCCTGCATGTATGATACATGACACCATGGATAATCATATGTGTTAGACAGTAACACGGGAGCCTCATGTAAATACATGTACATATATGTTGATACCTACAATGTTAGCAGGCAAGAAGTTCCGTCATTCCGTGTAGTCTCTCCGAGAGAGAACAAATACAAATCGGTTGAGAAAATACATTTTTACTTTTAGTTGCCTCACCATTAGGAGATAAGAGGAGCGTTGTTAGGTTCAGTCATTCCTGGTGATATCAGGACGTTGAATCAATGTAGTTCACAGTGAAGTCCAACATTGCTAAAACTAGAGAGACCATATACGTCTCTGTTTAAACACATAAGAACTGGCATCTAGAGCAGAATAAAATAGAAAAAAATATAAGTCGCATCGGAAAGCTGTAAAGTAATTCATAAATACAACGTGATAAAAGAATTTGTAAGGAGGCAAGTGTAAGCCTACCTGTACAATATAAAAGAATGGAAAAATTATTTTTTCTTGTACCTTTTTTCAGTAGAGTAGCACAAGCTTACCCTGTTCGCCAACACCTAGTGTTATCACAGAGTATCAGTGATGCATTCATATATTTCACACTCTTTTGCCTTTTACGCCCAATGGAATCTCCTTCGTCAGATAATCGTGACTGGTTATCCGCTGGGGTTGACGTTTTATATTCCTAAAAAATATCAAAAATATATCCCAATAAAATTCATGTCTGTTGTTGATATCAGGTTATCAATGACGTGTACTTCATTTAATTAATTATATCAAATTTAAATGTAAGAATATGTCTGTCAACATGTGCAACGAACTGCTCGTAAGTGGAACGTGTGACAGTGGACGTTATATTGGCCACACTGTCAAACACAGTCAGATCTTAAATATCGATGTGGATCATTTATCATCTTTCAATGCTTATCATGCGTGTAGTGACTTTTTGGACCAAGAACAATGTCAAGAACCTGGTATTATTAACACTGAAATTTATTTTTATGTCCAGCGCTATTCCAGCAGCTCCAGCCTTTGGTGCCTACATTTCAACTTTTGAGTTACAATCGCGCATGCTCATTCTACGAAGATTTCAAAGCGCATCGTGTGACTTTTGTATCAAAAGTTGATTGATTAGGGTTACAACATTCACGGCCGTAGTAAAGCCTTCAAAACGTTTATGGTAGAAAAGTGGAAAACATTTCCAAATTTGACGCATCAGTGACAAATATATTGTCTGGTGCAATTCCGTATTTTGACTTGTACCTTATGTTTCCGTGTGTTTTTCTGGTGAACAATTGACTTGCTTGTACGTGTGTTTGTGACGGGTGCCACCGGTGGGGCAGGATATGCTTACGTTTTTGGGAAAAGCTGGTATCACCTCTATTTGACTGGGATTCATAAATATAATAATAATACAAAACGTCAACGCCAGAGAATATCCGCCGAAACAGATTCCTTTTGGCGGAAAGACAACATAGGGTAGAAAATTATATAAACGAATCCCTGAAAATCAGTGATTACACAAGGTGACACACGGTTTTCGCACGATTATTGATATAGTAAAAAAAATGAAACTTTCAGAAAACAATTCTTATGATTGTGGAAAGGGTTTTAACGATTTTATTACAGCATCATATCTTCAATTTGGATGATCTCAGTTTACGAAGTTTGTCCTACGTTGTTTATTATCCGCTTAGTGATATTTTCGATCAGAGTGTTGGAGTGCGTGTCTTGTCATAGTTCCAGTGGCGTCGATATATTGGCTGCTGCACACCAGATGAGGAATCACAAAACAGTAGTATGAATGGTTCTCGTAACGCCTTTACGACCGATGTATCCGAGTACAATAGGTGCTGAAGTGACAGTTTCGTGCTGATTTGCGTGATATACAGGTGCTTAGCATTTCACTATCTGCACCCCATAAACATTGTACACAATGCGAGGAAGCTAAGACATACTGACATATGCAAGTATACGAAGGCGAATTCAGAAGGAGAATGAAAGGGGTAACATCGTTGACATTTGGAATTGTCAGCAATAAACAATGTTAACGTTGAAATTGATATTTTGTATGGACATCGTTGATAGCTAAAAATTCTCTTTTCATATACCCGCGTGTATATTTTATTCAACGTATTCAAATCGTGTGCATGTTCAAACTAACACAGCAATCGTCTTTTCTGTTTCTTAAAGTGCATTCGTTTTCAACCATCAAACGCTGTATAATTCTAATATTAGTTCTCAAAATGGTGTTAGGGAGACAATTACGTTTTTCAATCAAGAACAACCTCATGTAGGAATGGCAATAATTATCATTATTATCAAATGAATTGATATGGGTTAACATTAATGGTTCATGGTACAACTAAACGGTGTAATTTTGTACGCGCTGCAGATATTAGGTTCTGTTCATACCAAGGAATCTTTATTCCAAGAAACACGAAAGCTGTAAGGGAAAGGGGGGAAGATATTGTGTGCGCCCGTATCTAACACGTGTTGGTGAAGCTGGGGGTCCGAGAACAATACGATACTCTCTTCACCTAGCATCGCTGGCCGATTTGCGAAATTTGAGACCAAACATAAATATAACACGGTCCCGATCACCGGGGTAGCTACATCATCCTTAGGCACCGCTTGTCGCAAAGTCTGGGAACTCTGCTTTAATCTGATTGGCCTCAGTCAGCTGTCAATCACGGCAGGGGGCGGACGTCAGAGAAAACAAGCGCCCAGCGCGGCAATCGTTCTAGATGTCGTTACAAAGCTGCCCCGCCCCTCAAATTCCGAACATGAAGAAATACAATTCCACGTACTCATGGCAGTGTTGAAATCGTCTCATGGTAGCAACGGATAACGGTGTGTGGGGTTTGGAGAATGACTTGCGTCGATCTTATGTATCAGTTTTATTCACCTTATTTTCCGTACAAATCAGCCAGCGATGAAAATCAGGTAAGAGGAGCAGGGCTTCAAGAAGCTGACAACTTTTGTAATTGAATTCTAGCAATACTTTAATTGTATCTTTCGATAAGGGCATAATTGCATGACAAATAGTCGCGGTTGGAAGCATACCAATAGGGACTCTCTAACATACTTCACGCTCCCGACATTACCAGTGATTCTTGCCCTGTCTGCCTAGACTATAAGCTATAAATTCCATTCTCACAAATACTCCACACATCACATAGCCAGAAATTCGCTGCCACCGATGTTTAATACGAATGTGCACGTTTCAGAAATTCGGCGTTCCGTCGATGTATGAGAGTCCTCATGCCGGACATTATGTAGAAGGCAGTCCCGGATCCGAACGGGACGGCGAACCAGCTAAGGAAAATCAACCAAAAGGATCTCAGTACCTGAACCCAAACTGTCTCCTACTTACATACTTCTCTGGAGATATTGCCTCCGTTGTGGACGAACATTTTAGTCGAGCTCTCAGTCAACCAAGCAGCTATACGATAGACAGACAAGGGAGCAAGACATACTCCAGATCAGGTAAGTGCAAGTTTCATGCATTTGAAAATTTAATATTTTAAGAAAAGACCTTATTGAAATGATATTTGAAGTCAATAGTTATTTAAATTAGGTCTTAAGGATTTATTTGAGGTGCCACATATAATACCAGTTCAATAAATTTGAAATTATTTTTCAATAATCGGAATATTGGTGATGGGGAATATTTGTCATTACCGTCACTGTCAAAGCTATTGATGCTTCGTTTGCTCCATTGGTCATTATCTTGATGAATATACATTATATCTAATCCTTCTAATTCCACCATTAGGGAAATGTAACGTTATTATCAACACTGAATTTATGTGACTGGACATAAACATGCATTTTAAGATTTTTCATAGATCATATCACTTCAAGCAAAAACATGATCAGATAATTCCCTATCCGACTTAATGTTTATGAAATATGGTAATAAATATATTTTACATTTCGAGTTGTATATCTCTTAATGGAAAAATCATCGATAATTATTATTCACCAGATAAAGAAACATTTATATTAATTATTAAGATGATTTCCTTCAACGTCATTTATATCTGCACTATCATGATGAGAGATTAGAACAATAGTCACACGTGTTTAATATGTGGGCCCAATGCTAGGATGTATATTGTCACGTGACCTATCAACCTGCACTTGGAACTCAAATATGCTCTGTTTATTTGCTCTGATTAACTACCATTTGGTTTACCAAATGTTCCTTATTTATTAAGTCACAAGGTCATTAATAATTATATGGTGTTTCGATTTTTTTCAAAACCATCATCCAAAAGTAACCGGAAGGAAAGGTTGTAATTTTGAAATCATTTTCTAAAGGAAGGCTTTCCTACAATTAGTGCAAATAATAACTAAGATATTGGGAAACAATCCAGAGAGATTGATGAGGTTTGGCGTATCTAACGCTAGTTACCCACTTACACATTTCCAGTACTAATTAATTAAATAATCCAGCAAATACGCCCCAGTTCATATGATCCTACTTTTATAGCAACCTTGCTAACTAAAGAGAAAACATCCACGATATGAATAATGAGATTTAGTGCTAACTGTTATGAACCCTAAACTCGCACTGTTAGCTAATCGTGTCCAGAGTACACTTCTTTAGAACATGTTCAAATAAGACATATTGTTTATTATATTAGTTTAATGATTTGTTTATACGTCGACAATAGTTTCAGTTTCAAGTCAAGATGTGTTCTCTATTTCAATTTGAATGATGCGTGTTTGTAAACCAACCTCCGCAAATATGTCTACCATTAGCTGCGGAACTGACACCTATCGATGTGACGCAACAGCACGAGTTCCTAACGTGATGGCGTCATCAATGACTTTCCCATGCCCGCGTCAGCAAGACGTTATGGTAATGCCATCATGTAAAGTGGAAGTTACCTAAAGTGTGCCAACGACTCTTCAACCCACCCACACCTATGCAATATAGATCAAGTACATGTCATTATAAAATCAGCTGATGATGTCAGGCAGTAGATTAGAGATCAATTTCACTCGGTTCTTGATGCTTTTGATTACCCTATAAAACATGTTGGGTTTAATAGGTAGTGATTCAAAAAGACATGCTCATGATATAGTCGGATTCGTAGAGTCGGATCTGCTTTTGGGAGAGAGTTCTGAATATGGAAAGGGTTTTGTCGCGTTTATTCCCATAGTATATGTTAACTAAAGTTATATATATCTAGTGAAGTTTTGTCAATTGTCAGATCAATTTCATTTGGCTCGTGACATTGTTCTGTTTCTGAAAGTCTATCATCAATTTGAGGGTTTTGATTTCATACACGAACTCAGCTGATCCTATTAATCTGCAGACAGATTATCAATTTCTGATCTTTCCTGTTTGAGTTTTTAAAAAAAAGTTTTATAAGAAAAAAATCTTCACTGACTGACCCCTATTTGAAAACTAACAACTCAAGTTTCACCATTTTGAACTCTTTGAGTAAACATGATAGCGAAAGACTGATGTAACAGATCGCCTGATACCAAATGGTTCTGTGTAGGAGCTCGCTTCATCAACGTACTTCTATTTATACTACACAACGCTCATTGATTTTTATCGCGAAACAATAAGCTTTGAAACGTTTACAGTCTGTTACACTTGCAAAGGCAAGCAAAATATAAAAATTGAAAGAGGTTATTTATGTGTCTTCTTAATGATATGTGAGAAAACACGAAACTTCGCAATAAAACAACAGCAAACACGTTGTTTTCTTAAAGAAAAATATCAAGATCGTCAAGTCACGAAATCAGCGCTCAAAGGCCTGTCCTGTCGACAATACCAATGTACCACCCCCGTCCCTTCCTGCTTGAATTAAACCGAGGCTCATACATAGCATATGTCTTCACATTCAAATTACAACTTTGGAAAAAAAACCTCTTTTATCGTATCGTTTCTCTGTGTGTTTTAGTTTGGCCGTCATTGGCGCAGAATTTGGTTACGATTTTTTACGGTCTTCGTTATCTTGTATCGCCGATTGTTGCAACCGGAGCATATCCTGAACAGGCTTCGTTTCGTTTTTATTTTCCAACTTTTTGTATTCCCTTAACACGGTAGTTTCAAATTCATTGACACTTCCATTCAAGGTTTAACTTTTTAACTGGTCTCAAAGCAACGTTTTTTAAATTTCTCAGCTAATTTTTGAAAACTATCTTCAACGTTTGAATATCTGTTTGAAGTTAAGTTAATATCTTACACGAGGGCTTTGCTCTCCAACTGTTACAAGATCACACAGTATCACTGCTTGTCACTGTACCAGTTTTACTTGGCACATGTTGGCATTGGTTCGGGATGCCCGAATTCTTTCTGGTAACGCTGCCACACTCTGTTGTCAAATAAATTTGTCGTTGTTGGTTCCCGAAGGGGTATACCAGTGCACCAAGAAACAGTACCATCTAAGTAGGAGTTCGTAAATTGTTTTAGAAACACTTAATGAAGTATATCCAGCGTATTATTTAGGTGTAGTCATTTTTGTGACACAGTGAGGCACATTACGTATATACAATAAAAGATTGAATAATATATTTTGATCATATTGAATAAATACAGACACGACAACATAAGCATTTCGGGATGGGGCAGGATACGTTCACCGTTTCGCGAACACCTGGTATCATCACTATTGGATAGTGGTTCCTAAACACAGGCTCATGATATAGTCAGAATCGCACAGGGGACGGTTGTTTACCTAATCCATGTACCGGTAGCGTTCTTGAACCTTAAAATATTGTGTTGCTCTCAAATCGCATTTTTACCTAATCCATTCAATCCTTTTCTCAATAAGTATTCCAATGATAAAGAACACCATTGTCCACAAGGTACTGATAATAATGTAGCATGTACTTATTGTACAACATAGCACAGCACAGCACAGCACAGCACAGCACAGCACAGCACAGCACATAACAGCACAATCTCATCAAAGAGAACCCGCAACTTGACCATCTCATACTGGATAACGTCTTACCTTTATTCGGAGGACCATACGGACATACTGCTAAACACATTGTGGAATATTTATGGGACGATATTAAATATCCATAAGACACCACGTTTAACAGCTTCTCAGACACGATCTTACACGAGTCCTTGTGGTTACCAAATTGCCAGACGCATACCCAGACAAACCAACTATAATTCATACAAGTGTACATTCATCAACCATCACCCCCACCTCACCCACCTCCAACCCAGACGGGCACATGTTCTCACAAATTAAAACTAGTTTTCAACCAACAACTGGAACACGGTTCTAACCAATGTAACCAACTGTTTGGCAGCACAAAGTTAGAGCAATTAATTCTTTAGTTGCCAGACGGGCTGAGTCGCCCCTTCATTATCAGCACCCCGCTCGTCTTGCACGTGCTGTCTGCTGACCTCAACAGGGCTATTTCTCCATGTCAGTGGTCAGTCTGCACGTGCTGCTCATATGTTGTAGGCTGATTGACCACTTCTCCGTCGGGCACCTGTCTCCGTCAGCTGAGAGATTGTAGTTTCAGGGAGAACCTTCGGGGTGTGTTTATAGAACCGGATGCTAACATGCACAGCCAGTATACCAGTCTGTATCAAGAATCAAGAATCAAGAATTTTTATTGTACAGAACACCCTCGTAGGGTAGGGTACAAACTATCTACATGTGGGCATGTATATAATTCTAGACATGAGAGGTAGATATACATGATGTACGTTATACATAGAGGTATTACATGTTATTTCATTTACATTATATAAACATTTATGTATATCATGAGGTGGCTGGTAGCGTACACTTAGTGTTGATACTGCATTGATGGACTAGAAAGGGTATTTCTCATGGCCTTAGCTTAAACATGTGGAATACAGTCCTGGCAACAAGACTTGGCCATTCTTTTGGTGGGTTCATAAATTGTTGTATGTAACATCTCGGATGTGAAGGGCTTGCTGTATTTGATTGAATATTATTTGCTGCTGCATACACACGGCTCTGTAAATAACAAAGATCATAAAGGTCAAAATCCTCTTTATTTTTGATAACGGTATGATTGCATAAACGTTATCGCGTATATAGCTTTTTTATTATTTTCATCATTTAACAGTTAGCTTAACTCCCGGGCAAACTATAACATACACCATGTTTGATGGCTGAAAATGAAACAAACAACAAATGTTATTTCGATAGTCATGTATTGATACGGGTATCGAAGATGTGCTTGGACTTTACCTTGGTAGTGTTCCGGCGACTGTTTTCAGCCTGGTAACGTTTTGAGAACGTTTAAAATGTTTTGGTCAAATCCAATTTTCAAGTGTATACTTTCTTTTGATCGGCAGTGTATGATGCGTAAGGTTATGTAAAAACATACAGTGTCTGTGTCGGTGTTAAAACGTGTAAAATTATAAGCAGGACGACTAAATGTATTGTTTATTACTTTGTACATTTACACATACACGTCTTAATTACTGTAAATATTATATTAAAGTACTCAAACAACAGCTT